CTCTCTCTCTCTCTCTCTCTCTCTTTCTCTCTCTCTCTCTCTTTCTGTTTGTGTCTCTCTCTTTTGTTCTCTGCATTTCATTATCTCCTTCAGTTGTGGTTTTCTTCTTTTGTTTCTTTTTATTCCACTTTTCCCCCTTTTTGGGGTGGAGGGGGGTATCTGAAGGTGGTTTCCTTCTGACTTTTGTAACATACCTCACCTGATTCCAGCAAATTCTGCTATACTTTATAGTTTCCTAAGAGACCGAGTCTGTTTTCCAAAGGAGCAATCGCACCTGGAAACAAAGTTTTGTGAACATGTATTTGAGAAGTAAGGTATAAATACATACTGTGCGCCACTATGTTCAGTTTAATTTGTGTGGTTTTTATCGCCATTTCCAACACTAGTCAGATATTTAAATAACAAGACGTCCAATTTAACGTTCATTTCCGATAGGACCTGATCAAGTAGGTAAAGATTCTTAAAAACTTCCCAAACAACCTATGCTAAAGAATCCCCCCATTGTCGATTGTAACAAGGGCCATGTGCATCATCGCCTTGCATGATACTAACTTAGCCACTCCGAAAAAAAGGGGAAACAGATTCTATTGTATTTTTCTTTGACACTGCCCCACCACCCCTGTCCCACCGTCTCTATTCTTCTCCCCCCTCTCCGCATCCCCAGTCTTATCATTTTCTTAATTAGTCTAAATATTTACCTATTCTTTGCTCCTCGCTGTCACATTCTCTGTATATTTTCACAAAGGAGTACAGTACAGCACTATCCCTGTTTAGCGATACGGTGAGCCGATATTCAACCCCACCCCACCCCAAACGCACACACACAAACTCTCTTTTTATATCTTCTTCCCTTCCCTCTCCCTCACTTTATCTCTCTCAGTCTGTCTCTCGTTCTCTCAAACTCTCTCTCTCTCTCTCTCTCTCTCTCTCTCTCTCTCTCTCTCTCTCTCTCTCTCTCTCTCTCCCTCATAAAGCATCACTTAATTTTTGAGCCAGAGAGCTTCCTAGTTATTACATAACATGGTGGCACCATGTAATGAGTATTAGTGGGTGTACATTCACTCACTCAGCTTAGCAAGTGTGAAATAACATCTAATTCTGTGGAGTAGACCTCTGCGGTAAGAGCCGGTATGTCTTCGACATGTCGTGAAAACACGCATAGCCTTTTTCCTCGACAGGTCGTGAAAAGTCACATATATTTTTTTCCCCACGACATGTCATGAAAATGCCGGCTGCCCTGAACTTATTGTGTTGCAAGTACCGTAAATTTCTTACTAAAACAAAGTAAACAAAGCGCTGCGATTACTGAGTGGGAAATGAGGGGGGGGGAGGGGAGGGGCAGCACATAATATGGGACAGACTGCATTACCGTGGAATGATGCTGGCGTTCATACAAGCTGGTTTGACTCTCCAACGTCACAACTGGAGACGGGGCTTGGCCAAAGCTCCCCGGGCCAGTAGGGTGAGAGTCAAGATCTGGCGTCTTGATAGTATCAGTACATACCGTACACAATACGTAGCGCCTTGATAAAGTGCTTCTTGGTTTACATTCTAGGTAGTGTGTGCTGGACAGATGTTACAGTTAGAACAATGGTTTGTTAAGTACAGGGGGTGTTGTTGCTATTGTTGCTGCTGCTGCCCC